GAAAAAAATAGAATAGAAACATTTGGCATATCCAAATTGACAGACCCTCTGAAGAGTTCTAAGGCACAGCAACTGTATAATGAAAGGCTCTTTTGAGATACCTCTTCCTATTCCTGCCTTTCAGAGGGGTAAACCCTAGGCAACAGGCTAAATCAAATGCTAACACCCAGTGCCTCTGAATTAGTGCCTCTGTGACTACATGGCATAGGCCTCAGTGGATCTATGTATGACCTAAGTGCTTTCTCATCATTGCTATCAGCCGAAATCTTTCTGCATTTAGGAGAAAGTTTCAGAGTAAAGCTTATGGTTCCAGTTAGGAAGAAACTAAGCATAGTAGAGAGAAGGCATACAGATGATCCCCAAGGTTTGATTTCTATCTGTTGAGTTGCAGTATTGCAGGAAGAGTTGCCAATATTGAAGAAGGGAAGTCATCACCGGAACATACATTTTAAAAATAAAATGGTCTGTGAGGCTGCTGGTTTGAGCAGGTATAGGAACAATGCCAGGAGATGCTTAATCCTTTTCCCTACTGTCTTCAGTCTACTCAAAATTATCCTTTCAAAGCTGATTTTTCTCCCTGCAGGGCAAAAAACAACAACACAGAAGCGTAGAAAGGCTGAAGGAGGGAGGTTTTAAATCGGCAGTCCAAACTCATAGGATTAAGCAGCTTCTCCTTTCTGTTACTTCTGATGCTTGGTGGAAAATGAAAAAGCGATGCTTTCCCTGGAAAATTGTTTTAGAAAGTGAGCCATTAGGACAGTGTTTCTCAACCAATGCTGGCTGGGGGAATTCTGGGAGTTGAAGTCCACACATCTTAAAGTTGCCAAGGTTGAGAAACACTGCATTAGGACATAGCAATTTTAAATTTAATCCTAAAATTAAATTTAACCCACACTTAACCCTAAGGTGTTTGTGCCTCATGTGACTCTTTTTATAACTAATGAATATGGAGCAGTAAGAAAATTGCAACAACAGCACTTATATTCTTCTTGGTATTTCAATTCCTTTGAGATCTTTGTCTTTCCCCTTCAGGTTGCCATTGAGTTTGATCAGAATGTATCTATTGCTTTTGCTTGCTTGAGCGCAAATTGCAAGGTGGTTCATGAATATATTGGCGGCTATATTTTCCTGTCAACCCGTTCCAAAGACCAGAATGAGACATTGGATGAAGACTTGTTCCATAAATTAACTGGCGGATGGGAATGAAAGGAAACAAGAAGCTTTTGCTGGACTACATAGGAGAGCAAGAGGTGATTGTGCTCACCAGGATGGCTCCTTGGTACCCTGATCCTGCCTGACTCCTGTAATAAAAGTAGATAAAGAGGAAGCTGGCATATTACTAAGCAAAGCATCAGCCTTTGGCATCATATTTATGGACAACAAGCACTTCCCCCTTGGCAGCCATTTGTGAGTCTGCCCACAAGATGCTTTCAAAATTCCAGATGTGGCTCTCCACACAGTTTGCCTATCCCTGGCCTAGGGTAAACAGGACTTCAGAAATAAAGATGGAGAGCTCTTCACATTACTGATCAAAATCAGTGTTCAACTATTGTCATTACTCCATGGCCATTTGTGGGAGGTGATGGTGGAAAGAGACTGAATTACATAGGGAAGGTTATATCAGATGAAGCCCTCACAAAATTCCATGAATAACACAAACTAATTGCATAATAGAAGTCTCTTCTGAAAACATTCTAGCATGCCAATACAGCAAACTCTGAAGCACAGTCCAGTTGCCTGTTCCTGCTCCCTTCTGCACACCACTCCTGTCTACTCTGAGTCACTGTTCCCCTGCAGCCTTTCAGTCAACGGAGTTCAATGTTCTAAAGAGAGCTGCATACTGCCCAACCAGTCTTCATGCAACACAAGTAACTATTTGTGAGAAGTATATTCTCCTTATGGAAATAATGTTTTACCCTTTGCACTAGTCTGGAACAGTGGAGAAGAAAAACTAACCAAAACTCAAGTGTGTCCTGCTTGTGAAAGAGCTTGTGAAAATAAAGCATCTATGGAAGCTCGTTCTTAGAGATACAGGAATTCTTATGCCAGCTGATTCACAGTATGTTGTAGACTTTCATTGGCGTTAATAGATTGTCTTAGACAAACTTTCTGGAAAAGCTCCTGCTCTCAAGGGATTTCGGTCAATATTCAATTACTGATACGTATTTTGACACAAACATGGAACAATGTTTTTGCTTCCATTCCTCATGACTGGCTTTTCAGTGGTTGTTACAGTGAAGAGGAAGAGAAGCAAGAACTGTCTATACATGCTGAGAAGGAAGGGAGGAAGCCATTTTCTGGTTCTTTAAGGCTTAAATACATACCAGTGGCCTCCGTGTGGCTGGATTCCAGTTCCTATTGGTGACCATTGCACATGCTTGCTGGGGCTTATGGAAGTTGGAATCCAGCTGGGAGAGGAATGCACAACTCAGGAGAATGGATCTCATATGGCAGAAGTAAGGGGTGAGTGAGTGAGTGTACATGTGTAGGATGGGAGATCAGTTTCCTTGTTTTTCAGCATCACAAGTTTGCCTTGCTATGAATTGGGTGTCTTGTGACTGGCTTCACACACTATAGCAGCCATTTTGTGAATAAGTATATTTCCCACAGCAGATACTCTGGAGTTGGCCTTTTTCAAAATTTTAGATGTGTCCTTTGCTTCAAAGAGTTCGAGAATCCAGTTCATTTTAATAAAAAAAACCTTTTGTTTTGTTTCTATTGTATCTGGTATTTTTGTACATTTTTATTATCACTTTTTTTTTTACTATAAAATGCTTCAACAGTTTCTGTATTTTGTAGATTGTGCAGAATAATGATTAAAAAGTAGCTTTATTAAGTTTTCCTATGGTTTTATTTACAATCATTTGAAATAAATTCTAAAATGTTTTAAAATAGTTTCAATAGTTTGGGCATTTTATTTCAATTACTAGCAATAAAGTTGCTGAGACTGTAAACTGGGGGGAGGGGATTTGATACTAGAGATTTATAAACTAACTTGCTGTATCAAACACAGTTTGGAATCTTTTCCACTTCAGTTAATATTTCCAGCATTCTTTTAAGATTGCCACCTTCAGAATTTCACTTCACTAAATATATAACTTTGTACTTTTATCTCCAGAGAGTTATTTGGGATGATGAGACAATTTAAATCAAACGGTGCTGTTTCTATACTGCTACATTTCCCCAAAACACAATGAAACTGGCCCAAAAGCTTATACAGAACGGATTTATACAAACAAAAGTCTGAGAATGCCTCTACAAACCAGAAGTCACGGTAGTGTGTAAATTTGGATCTTTCCTAGTAGCATCTTTTTTACTCTCTTGGTTTCTTGTTTTCAACCCAATATCATCAGGCTTCCATTCCATATATAACAGGCAAAATAAAAATAATATAATTCCAGCTAAAATACAGATTTTGGCGCCATCTCCATCTGGAACCATGTAAGTTTAGGACTTTTTTTACAATAGTATATTGCCTATGTTTATATTACTGTGCTATTGTTATTAGTGTATTTTATTCTTTACATGATAGAGTGCCTAGAATCCA